GTTCGAAGGTTTACATGCAGGGTTCGGTGCGCACGGTTTATCATTCCTCTTCAAACCCAATATGATGTGGAGTCAAATGGCTCAGAGCGATGTAGGGCCATTGGAACTCACGGGATCCGGGTTCCGACCCGGGCATGCATAAATTTTTGCCAAATTGCAATTTTTTGCCCATTTTCCGCTAATTTCTCGACTGAGACCGATTTTTCTCCATTTTCGCGCCATCGAGGGCTTCCCTAGCCGATCAATCGAGGAAACCCATCGACCCGACCGATCAATATCGACCATCCAACCGATCGAAGACAAAATTCACGCCGCAGCGCGGCAAAACCTTCAGCCAAAAGATGGCCGGAGGCCGTACCGTCCTGTGACGCCACTGTAAAAATGCACACGCCATCCCTCGCTCCAGGCGTGGAGGAGGCCACGTCGGCAGCCGCCGTCACAGGCGTCCGCACCACTATGGCGGTGCCTTCAAAAGCGGCCCGCAAGAGTTGAACAACCCTCGCCGGGCATAAAATTTCGCCTTCACGTCATAACTCCCACCACACGACGTCCCCGAGCGCGACTGCCAGTTCTGACGATCGACGCACTCGCACGACATGTGCTCCGTGGTGAGCTGCTCGGATGCGGTCATTCAATCACCAGCAAGTGCCAGTGATCGACGCCCGCCCCCGGGTGACCCGCCAACGACGCCTATGCCACCGACCCCTATCGCGAGTGAAACGTATTTCAATCAGGTTGAGTGCGGCGAATCGCTAAAGAGGAGACGGCAGACTGATAAGTGATAAAGGTGATTGGCAAAACATAGCCTCCTGCGAGCATGGATCCTGCCACCTCCCAGCCAGAGCGCGCCCCTACTACCTGTGCACCATTTGGCATCGGTGCTCACTGATTTGTCAAGAGCGCTCTCATGGCAAGGGTTCCACTGTAGACCACAGTAAAGTGTTTCAGGACTTCCAATGTTGAGAGGTTTGAGACTAGGCTGAGGGATTCCTAATAGGGCGTAGGGTTCATCTCCCACCTATTTCTGAATGCCAGCTTACCTCGTTTTTTGAATTTTCTGCTCCCATTTCTCAGTTAGGTGACGGGTGCCAACTTTTGTGTGGGTCTACGGCATTTTTGCACCGAATACTTGTCCAAACCACATATCCTTGAGCATTTCATAACGGCGATTTCGCTTTTCGTCCACACCCTTTGGTTGGGCGCATTCATAGTACCGGCATCAGGATCGCGCTGTAATCGCTGGCTGACAGTAAATATCTCGTCCATGGCTGGTGCGAACCTACAGTGGACGAATAAAAAGGAAGATTCTGATGGGAAGATTTTATTCTGATTTTAATTTTGCGGTAGGGAGGTGGGCTTTACTTTTTCTGAGGTGCTCAAGTATTAAAAAAGAAGTTTTTTCCCAAAAAGATAAAAAAGACTTGTGTTGCATGTTCAGCAATACATGCCTTGCCGTCTGAGTGTCTCTCACATGAGTGTATTATTCCTAGGCGTCATTACGCCGACATCGGCGTCGGCGTCGCAGTATGAATGCATCAAGTGGTTTTCTTGCCCTTACTTTGTTGAAGATGCGTTGCCGTCTGTCACCGTCTGAGTGTCTCTCACATGAGTGTACCACTCCTAGGTGTCATTACGCCGACATCGGCGTCGGCGTCGCAGTATGAATGCATCAAGTGGTTTTCTTGCCCTTACTTTACTGAAGCAATTCTTCAATTCACTCTGTACTGGCCTCACATCATGCCATTCCAAAAAAGAAACTAGTTGTGAAATCTGAACGCTTCTCTCCGTTGATTATAAACCTTTTTTGTTAAGGAACTCATGCCCAATCGCTTCTTGGAGTTTAATTTGTGGTTTTCCATGGGAGAATAAGGTCGACTATATTTGATGCTTACTGTCGGTATAATATCGGAAGATCGAATATATCGCGAGATTAGCGCTTGAAATTTTCCAAATGGAGCTGGTGACCCCACGCGAATGTACACATCGCTCCTTCTTGCCA